AGACTGTTTCACTGAGTCGAATCGCACGTGAAAACCTCATGAATTATGATGCAACCATCTACCACAATGATAAAAATCATGGTATTTCATAACTATTCGGTATTCGATGAGCCACATTTTCTTAAAAAACTCCGAGGAAAACTTGGAGTTTTCCTTCTAATCAACGTTTGGTGAGTTGACATTTATTGTACTTTAGCAATTTGTCTAACTTGCACCAGATGTATCAGGGAAAGACAGAGGAAAGTGAATATATATAGCATGAAGATCGACTCAGCTGAGCGTTTGGCGTTTTCATTTATGTACCGCAATACCCAATTTCGCACAAAAACCCAGTCCACATTTAGGATGAGAAAGGTAGATTCATCACTCTTGGTAAGGTTACACTGAAGCATTAAGGTTGCACTGAAACATTCAAAATACCTCATGCACGTTAAACATGCCTATGTTGTTAGACTTGTTATTCACCGCCAGTAACCTCATATTTCACTTAGGTGTAAACTTTTAGACCCAAGTCAAATTTAGAAGGATTTGTATGGAGTCATCAGAGCATAACTGGGCTAATATCTCAAAGACAATTTGCCCCGAAATGCTAGTTTTTGGCAAGTAGGCCTCTTGGATGTCGCTCTTTTCAGAATATCCTGACAAATCCCATAATTTCACAAATTAACACCTTACTCTTACCATATTTCATTTCTTACCATTCCTCCGCATTTACAATTGATCGGTTCCACAACAACGACGCCGAAGTGTACGCTCCATAGCGGCGTGTTATTATTTTTACTTAAATGCATGTGTTTTATTTATGTAAAAAAAAAATATGTAAAATAATATTTTTTAAGCACACATTATTCATCCCTTTATTATTCACAGGTTTTTTCAGTGGGTCTTTACAAATTTCTGTTATCGATTTCACCCATTTTTGGTTCACAGGTATTTTCACAGGCTTTTCAGAGGTGCCTTTTTTGAATTTGTTCATAGCTTTCTTCACAAGGTTTTTCAGAGGTGTTTCTTAAGCAATTTTCTCAAAATTTGTTCATAGGTTTATTCACAGGGTTTTTCAGTCAGAGGTTTTTTCACAGGGTCCTAAATGTTGAAATTTTTCTCAAAATTTAGGCTGTGCAAAATTCACACGTTTTTTCACAGGCTATTTCACATATTTTTCACAGTATTTTCATCCAATTGTGATCTTCACATTTCTATGGCCATTAAGCAATTCAAAGTTCAGGTCTCTTCATATTTTTTTTCCACCTCCTGTTTTTAATCTCCTCTCTTTACTTTAAAGAGGAAGTGATGCCTTGTGTAGAACATTCACCTTGCAATCCAGAGGCCTTGAGTTCAAATCCGACCCTGTCCGCTATAGCCTCCCACGCAGGTGTTTTTAGGGGTGCTTGTTTTTCATCCCTCCTCACAAACGCCTGCTCAACCAAAGACAACTTTCCTTTCTTAAGCTTAGCCAATCACAATGTACTTTCCAAATTCTGGAAAGTTGACCTTGACCGCAGGGAAATCTGATAATTACTCAATCTGCATGAAACACTGGGAAAGCTTTCTGTTCTCTAATAAATGTTAGATTCAGAGCGGCAAAAGTAAGGTTTGGTCAAATTTTAGAATACTCCATGCACTGCATAACCTTAGCAAAGGAAAGAAAAGAAGGAAAACGGTAACTCTGTGGTCACGTTTTAGTTGTGTTTAGCTTGTCAACACTTTATTTCACAACTCATTGATTGGTCACCTTCCACGCAAATATAACAATGGGAAAGGAACGTTGTTTTCGGTTGAGCAGGCGTTTCTGGGGAGGGATGATGAGAAACGAGCCCCCCTAAAAATGCCTGCGTGGGAGGCTATGACCGCCACAGCTGTAGCTAGATTTGTCATCCTTTTTTCCCTTTCTGTTTTCCTTTTTACACGCAACTTCAATTCCCTTTGCTTCATTTTTTTTATTTTAAACTAAATAGAATATATCAAGATAATACACTTTTATTGAGCTATTTTGAAAAAATAGCTCATATGTCAGTGGTGTGAGCGTATGTATCTTTGTGGCTTTGTATGTTGGGATGTTTGTTGCAAGAGCCAATTAGGTTGAAGGTACTATGAGTTGATGCTTAGGAACCAATGAGATCTTGGCATCTATTTAAACATGGCATTGGTAAAGGTCGAACAAGGGCACTTTGAGACCGCCATCTTGATCCTTCACAATTTTTTCGTCTTTTATTACGGGTACAGGTGTTTGGAAGCATTACATAAAATATCTTCATGACTCAAACGCTGTGAACAGTGATGCAACTGTTTAAGGATTCATATTTAAGTGTGGATGCTGCTTCGAGGCATTTCTGACCTAATTCGGCTATCGGTACAACGCACGTCAGTGACGTCAGTGTGAGTTCTGTTTCATCTGCTACAACTGGGTAGAGTATAAAAGATCATATATTTTCAAATCTCTTCCAATGAAGCAATAATTGATATTTAGATATAGACTTTTATTCGAAAGTATGCGCCCTATAAAATGTGGTTTAGAAGTTTAAAAGGCAGCTTATTTTTTTGAAAGCTGTATCGAGTATTGTTAATCCTGTAAACAAGCTTTAAAAATATTCTCTTGCTTACAAAGTTCAACCGACCTTTTTCGTTCTATTTAGTAAAGATGCGTAACTTAAGTAGAAACAGTGGCGTTAGGGAATAAAATTGGAGGAAGCTAGTTGACACAATAATCATGATATTAGTAGAAATATATTTCGGCAGTTTGATAATTTTCTTGGAAGTTAATAAATGTTAGGCTATCAACCTTGACCTTGCATGAAACATAATTTAATTGCAGAGTTGTAGTAAAGCCGAGGTGACACATGCAAATTGTGTGCACGAGTTATTTTTATAATTCTGTTTACTAGATTACTGTGTGATAACTCGAATTCCCTCACGTACAAACGACGAAAGGGGGCAAAGTCCGACACTTTCACGTGCCAGCTGTGTGACTGTGCATCACATGCAGATTGGCTTTTCACAATAATAATAGTAACTTGGACGTATGAAGACCTGTTTCATTTAGTAACCAATGCCTTAAAAAAGGCTCTTGTCTTTAAGGAAGCAATAGCTTTTAAAACATGACGAAATAAGTTGTCGGAGTTAAAGACCGTTTCACAAAATTTTGTTAATAAATGTTAGGTTATCAACCTTGACGTTGCATGAAACATAATTTAATTGTAGATGTTATAATGAAGCCGAGGTGATTCCTTAAAATCGTTTGAGAAAATTTTGTAGTGAAGAATTTGCCTTTTTTTAACGTACGAATTGTAAAAGGGCCAAAGACCAACATCTTCACGTGCAAATTGTGTGCGTGAGTTATTTTTATAATTCTGTTTACTCAGCTAGTTTACTGTGTGATAACTCGAATTCCCTCACGTACGAACGACGAAAGGGGGCAAAGTCCAACACTTTCACGTGCCAGCTGTGTGACTGTACATCTCATGCAGATTGGCTTTTCACAATGATAAATAGTAACTTGGACGTATGAAGACCTGTTTCGTTTTGTAACCAATGCCTTAAAAAAGGCTCTTGTCTTTTGAGAAGCAATAGCTTTTAAAACATGAACAAATAAGTTGTCGGAGTTAAAGACTGTTTCACTGAGTAGAATCGCACGTGAAAACCTCGTGAATTATGATGATGCAACCATCTACCACAATGATAAAAATCCTGGTATTTCGTAACTATTCAGTATTCGATGAGTCACATTTTGGCTTAAGAAACTCCGAGGAAACCTTAGAGTTTTCCTTCTAATCAACGTTTGGTGAGTAGAAATTTATTTCACTTTAACGATTTGTTTAACTTGTACCAGATGTAACAGGGAAAGACAGAGGAAAGTGAATATATAGGTTGAGGATCGACTAAGCTGAGCGTTTCGCGTTTTCATTTTGTACCGCAATACGCAATTTCGCACAAAAACCTAATCTACATTTAGGATGAAAGAGATAGATTGATCACTCTTGGTAAGGTTACACCGAAGCATTAAAGTTACACTGAAGCATTCAAAATAGCTCATGCACGTTTAACGTGCCTATGTTTACTAACCTCACCACCATTGACATATTCCATTACAAATATTAGTCTTTCTTTTGTTTGAAAAGAGTACTTCAGCTCCTGTGTGACAACACAAAGGCAATGAAGTTCATTAATTCTGATGTACATGTAGTTAAATTTACTTGAAGTGACTAACTGACAACAACGCACATTAATTGATCCAACATACCATGCTTGCATACAACGTCAACATCATGATTATAATTCTGATTTGTTGACATTTTATTGAAGTTAATGATTAGGTACAATTGAAACATGTAGCAACTTACTGTGAGAAAAGGATGAACCATTGTCCTTAGCCCTCTGTTTTCTGTTAATGTATGTGCAACTTTATCCTGTGGGATGAAATTTTGATTTAAATTGTATATAATTTTTATGTCCACATCTCACATCTCTCACTGAGACTTTCAGAAGTGACTGCCACTCCATCTTGCTCGTGAGTTGTTGAATAAGAGTGTGTTTACTGACCTTGGCAACAATAATTTCTTTCTTTAATATCTTAAGCGCAACGACTTCACCAGTCTTTTTAATCTTTGCTAGTATGACCTTACTAAATGTCCCTTTTCCAAGAACTCTCAGTAGATGGAAATCATCTAGAGTCTGAAAAAAATTGACCATAAAAATTTAGGAAAAATAATAATACATGCAGCTGCTAAGTATGACAGAGGAGATCAATTTATTCTCTTTAGTGTGGGCCTGATAAAATTTTCAGTTGGGGGGCCCTCAAGCTTGCCCAACTAAAAATCCTGTTTAGAACACTGAGCTTCCTGAAATTCGAGTGTTTTGGGGCAATGCTACACTTGTACAGGAAAAAAAACCAACTTACACAGTAAAACAAAAGTTAAGCAACAAACCATTTTTTGACTTTCCCAGGTGATTTCATCTGTCACCGAGTTCTCTTTTGCACACATGTATTTTTCACTTTCCCGCAATTTATCAGCTACTTCTTGAATGGAAGTAACCCATTCTTCTCTGCAAAATGTGACAGCAAAATTTACTGTGTATTTGAACCATTCAAAATAACATCAAGGCTACAAGCTCAAGAGGCTTTGAATAAAAGTGCGACTTGCAATGAATGATTTTCCAGTAATGTGAGACTTAGTTAAGCGCACAGGAATATGGGATCACCAGGGGGCAAACATTGCAAGTCGCTGCAAAGAAATGTATGGCTTGGAGCTGTTTCTCCGTTAAAAGCAGTGTCTTTGGACAGAGAATGCTGCATTTTGCTGTGATTTTATGAGAAGCGGAGGTGACTAATGTTGGTGCTTTGAAATTGTAAGTTTTCGTGGGATCAATGCTATGAAATCTATCGATAAACACTCCTTGCGTAAGGTCGACTGTGAAATTTACTGAATGGTCTCGAAATATATAGTACGTAACTTACATAGTACTAACACAGTTAAGATCAGTTACAACTGCATGTTGAATCTAAAGCAAAAAATTGATGGCCACAACAAATCCACCCTACAGAAAACAAACGCCGTACCACCTAACGCTTGTAACTGCCGTCAACCAGCTCATTGCGCTCTGGACGGTAATTGCTTAAATTCAGCCGTGATCTACCAAGCCACAGTAGCAAAGGAGGACAACAGGCCAGCCGAGACCTATGTAGGCCTTACTGAGAACTCTTTTAAGACCAGATACTCGAACCATAAGTCTTCTTTCAGAGACCCAAACAAGAGACTCAATACAGAACTCAGTAAGTACATCTGGCACTTACTCGTTCGTACGATTTCTGCCTCATCTACTAATGGTTAAATACCAGGTCACTTTGTTTATACCAAAGTAAAGGAGGATTTTTTATTTTTATGGCCACGTACATACCTATGATTGTCTTGTCATAACCAGCACAGCGCCGCACAGCGCTCATCACGGCCGAGCGTAATTACACTCGTCGTAAATATCACCACACGTAATTATAACTTAAACGCTTAAATGAACCAATCCCCCTACATGTATACCTAAATTTGCACTATATATTTCGAGACCTTTTCTTCATGTAGATCACTGTGTAAATTCAGTAAACATAAATTTCACCCTCAACCTCACCTTAGCACGCAAGGACTGTTTATCGATAGAATTTATCGCATTTATCGCACAGAAACTTGAAATTTCAACGCCCTAACATTAGTCACCTCCGTTTCTCATAAAATCATGGCAAAATGCTGCATTCTCTGCCCAAAGACACCGCTTTTAATGGAGAGACAACTCCACGCCACACATTTCTTTGTAACGACTCGCAATGCTTGCCCCCTGGCGATCCCAGAATCCTTTGTGCAAAACATGGGTCTCTGATTACCGGAAAATCATTCATTCAATGCAAATCTATGCAACAAGTGGGTCTTTCCTGAACGAGGCCCTGTTAAGGTAACATTTCAACAAGCAACACAGGCCCTGGAACAGCGACATAAGACAGATGAAATGGGGACAAGCGACATGAAGAAGGTATTGAAACTGGAATTCCAAATACAATGGTAAAAAAATTCTGACAGGGACATGTCAACAGGTTGTGAAAATCCGTCTAGGGACATTATGTTACCACCCCCCAGAGGGCCTCTTTCCTTAGCCTCCATGCCAGGCACTCAAGAGGGAAGGAGCAAGGGGAAAATTGAACATAAGCCTTTAAAAAATAATTAAAAAACTGTAACCACAAGCAATCACTTGAGTGCATGAACAGCAAACCTTTCAGCAAGGTTGTCTAAATGGAATGTCCTCTCTATCAGTGTAGTCCACTGCCAACATCTGTGGATAAACAAAAATGTCACAAATCATTTTTCTTTGAACTGAAAGTCATAAAAAGTTACCATGAATGAAATCTTGTGTAATACTATAAAAATAATTTATTTTTATAGTATTACACAAAATTTCATCCATGGTAACTTTTTATCCCTAAAGAGTCATCATCATCTAATTTCTCTTTCCAATACCTGCATACAAATTCTCCAGACAGATCTTCATACATTTCCTTAAGGAATTAGTTAAGAGACTGTTAAAAATCAAAACATTTTTATTTGGTATCACTGGATTAACTCTTGTAACCTTTTCTCTTGGTTATGTATTAAAAAATTACTGTTAGGAGAAAATTGATGCTGATTACTAACAATGCCTTGAACACTAAGTTCTTGGGAACCTACTGCCACCAAGTTAAGTCAGCAGGGTAACCCCTGGCTGCTGAGTAGTAGGCCTGTGCTCAAACCAATGCTGGACCACAAGCTCATGCTCGCTGAGTTGATAATCCAAGGCTGTGCTCCTGCAGAGCCCGGTAGCCTGTGGTTCTTGCCTAACTTTTTCTCTCCGGTGACTACAAAATCTTAGTTTTTGCATACAAATCATATGCTGGGTACCTTGGATTTCACAGGCTCAGAGCACTTGGCTCCCTTCAATTTTCCTTACAACACAGCCTTGTAATCTAGTCTCAGTTCAGATGATCTTAAGGGGTGGCATTGAGCCATTAGCCTGGTCTCCTTTACCCTTGTTTTGTTTGTTTATTTGAAGGCAATTAACAGAAAGGATCCACACTGTTGTTACAAAAGATGGAGGGGCATTTCTTTCATGGTAAGGTCTTAGCTCTTCTCATGTCATGAGTTCATACATCACACACATCTCAGATGTTACATTAAAGTAAAGAGGACATCAACGTTGTCTTCTCATCTAGCCAATATTACAAAAACTTGAGAGAGTTCACCCACTCGAAAATAAACGTACACTTTACCTTATAATAAATGAATTTGACTTTGGCTTTTCTGTTCTCATAATTTGACACTCTGGTAAAATAAATAAAGAAAAAACACACCAGCGACTCACAATATTATATTACACTGTACAGCGTATAAAAATAAAGGTGCCAGGCGGGGCTGCTGAGCACTCCTAGAGCAAAGGTTGCTAGGTTACAATGTAGGGGAGAAACAATGCAATAGAACCTAGAATTGGTCAATAAAATTACATGTACCGTGGCAACTTGATGATGAACTGGCAAGAGTAATAAGCCAGTATACATGTATAAATGCTCAAATCAACATACATGTATAAGCACATAATCATAGAAAGATACTGTGGTGATTTCTTATGTGATAAATGTTACTTACTCAATTATTGGAGTTAATGATTGAAGTTATTTATCAGTGTACTTACTGTAAACAGAGAAGTTGTTCAAAGGTTCAGTTTCTCTTGACTTGGGAATCTCCTTGTACCCAATGAAAGTACCATCACTCCAAAGCTGAAAATACCTTGGTCTCCAATTCTTAATGTGTTCCCCTGAGAATAAGATTTCACAAAAATTATTTGGCATTGGTTAATTGATTGTGATTGTTCTGTGGGGAGAGAGATTACAAGTAACATTAATTTATAGCCAACAGCTAACTGTGGTTTTCTGTTTGCCATCTGTGACTGTTGATCTTTGACAACATCAAAAGTTAACACATTTTACAAGCTTGCGGTCTCTGCTATTTTGCAATAGACAGTACCCTGATTCTTTCTCCAGTTACAAAAACAGTGCTATTATGATCAGGAGGGAGGTTTCAGCAAAGAAAATGGTGGAAAAAAATGGCTCTGCTCTGCAAAGGGACTGACTCCTGCACTGAGGTTAAAAGGTGCTCCTTGAGAATTAGGGTGGAGTACTTGTGCAGCATGCTTCCCATAACCCTTGCCCAATTTCACACCAAAATATTTCACCTTACCCACCCTATATCCTGGGGGTACTGCCATATATGGGCTATATAGGTATGTGCCTCTGTGAAGGGTATGGTTTTCAAGCAATTTACTCTAAGATAGGGTATATAAATCAGAGTGTTTGGGTCTAGAATAGGGTATCATTTTTCAGGAAACTGATCAGTTGGTTGAAGATTTTATCTAGACTAGGGATTGTGGTATAAGGTTTTGTTTTGGCTAAACTGTGCTAGTGACCTCAGTAGTTTCTGGTAAACAGCTACTCTAGGATAGGGAGGATTTGGGAAGTTTACTCTAGTATAGGGTAGCAAAATTCAGCTAAAGTACCCTAAAGTACCCCCCCCCCCGGGCCCTATATTAGGTGGAGGCTAGACTTTCTCAAAGTCCTTCGCTTCTCATTTCCGGTTCTGGTATTTGGCCCCAGTGCGAAGGACTTGCAGCCCCTCAGCAGCCCACCAAATTTACAGGAGGAATTTTAATTTCCTCCTGTAGGTTTTATCCAATCACAAACGGTTTTACTGATGCGCCGTCAATCAGACTAAATCACGCCGCATGAAAAGTGACTTGATCCAAATTCATTTGAACTGTGTATGTGCAGGCTGTATTTTGATTTTGTTTTAATGCCTGAATTCAAATACAAAGATTTAGTGGGCGTTTTATCTTCCTCTTTTTGCATAATTTACCAAGGCCGGATTTTCCTGGTAGCCATGGAGTGAGAATACATTACCAACTTGTTTTGTTTTGGGCACACACACTACAAAGTTTTTTTTTGTTATTTCTTGGCGTATGCAAACCTTGCAACGATTCTTATGTACTTGAACTCCACAGATGAAGGGCCAAAATGTCTCGAGACTGAACTCACAAATATCACAAGAAGGCACTTTTGTTCATTATCCGTTTTACTTTCTCTTATCGGAATTTTTTTCCGTTATTTGTTTGTTTTGACATACTTTGACAGCTCACGAGGACACAAGCATGCGACAGGGACGCAAATAGTTCCTGCCAAAATGATGTCACTTGATGTGATTTTCTGCAGGGGAAACAAGTCGAGCCCTCGTTCTCTTACTCGGTTTTGCTGCAGAAAACATAAAAATGTACCGCTCAAGCTTCGCACTCACGAAAAAATTTGAGCTCGACTTGTAGGCAAGTCTAGGTGGAGGCATGCGTGGCTGAGCGGTTAACACCTTGAACTCTGGATCTGGAGGTCTGGGGTTCAAGCCTTGCCCGTCGCATTGTTTCCTTTACTCCACTTTGTCTCCACCCAGGTGTATAAATGGGTACCTGCGACATATTTTATTTTATTTTATTAGATTCGCCAATTATTGGCAGGGTCACCGCAACAGCATGACATCAATTACTGCAAGACATACTGATGGGGGTAACCCTGCGATGGACTAGCATCCCGTCCAGCATCCTGTCCAGGGGGGAGTAGCAATACTACTAGGCTTGCTTCATGCTGGAAACCAGTATAAGCTCCGCCTGTGTGGACCTTTTGACTCGTGTGTGCCTTTACCTTTAGTACCTTAACCCTAAAGATTAAGTAAACAATGAATTCTAACTTAAACTAAACATTTTGCCAATGTTAATTTTATTTAAGGAGATTTAACGTTAAAGAAAGCCGTGCAAGACATCTGAAACCTTCGATCACGGTACTATATCTGGGCAGCCATTTTGATTTCAGAGACAAGCAGTGTGGTTAGCCGTGTAACGGCGTCATGGAATACTAAACAAGCATCCTTTTTCTTTCTTTCTAATTGTTTTCTTTTCCGAGTCAAGATAATTGGACAAATTTAACTGTTTTGTTTTAAAATAAGAAGTTTTCTTATATTCCTTTACATTCAAATTGCCTGTTAAACAACGTTAAAGTGGTTTTTCTCCTTTGAAACCTGGTAAAACAATGTAAATTAGCCCTGAAAAAATCACATAATTTAATTATCGCATAATAATCTTATCGCACAATCTACCCAGAAAATATCGCAGAATTTCTGATTTTTTATCGCACCCTATCAGATATGGGCTGGATAGCAAATTGAATACCCTATTCCAGTCCCTCAGGTTTCAGAGTAACAGCACAAAACCTTACCCACTGTACACCCAAATGGTCACAATCCACATCTAATTTCAGACAAAAAGGACTCAAAAGCAACAGTCTCTCTGGCGCCTTAGTAGATATCGATTGAGATACATTTTTCATGAAAATCAAAAATAATTTATGGTCATAAACAACTTAATTACCTCGTTTCTGAAGCCAGCCTGCTTTAACAATAGTTGACCAAGGGCTTGGACTTGCATGTACAAATGATAAAGACATCACAAAGCCTGTAGTGAAGATAATTAAAAAATATGAGAAAGATGTTACAATCATTAACCATTGTAATCTGCAATTTCTACTTGGGTTTACTGTGGTGACCAAAAAAAGATCACAGGCTTCACAGATACCATGAGGCTCTGACAAGGCCTGTGCTCACTCTGATAGGGAGCTTAAGCAATGACGACGGTAACAGATACAAAAACATCACATAAAAAGTGAATTTGCACTACTTCAAACTTTATTGTGCTTCTTCCATCTCATCTAATTCGTCAAACGTTGCCAAATTTTTATGGAGTGGAATTCTGAAGGACTGTATCAAAGTTCAGGAAAAGAACAAGAAAGTTGTTGTCTTGCATTCTTGTCCTTGAAAAAAAACGTGAAATTATAGGCATTTTCATGTTGCAGTCATGCAACGACTGCCAAGAAATGTACAAAAAAGCGTGATGCACATGCAAAGTTGCTGTATGACCAATCTAATCCTATTGCTTTTATGCCATTCTAAGCTACCTAAATATACCTTCTGAGTACAATAAAGAATGGCCTCTTATTGCCATCAACAAGGTATATATATAGCTGCTATAGAGAGGTCTGATTGTTAATTAAACGAGACTTACCTGTAAGTCGTGGTTTGATTGAGATTCTACCGTAGCATTTGCAGGAATGAGGAGGTCACGTGAGATAGCAAGTATGCGATATCCGAGCTCAGTCTTAAAAGCGGTTTTGTGGGGCTTTGACAAAGCAGGAATGAGAGGTCACCAACAATAGGGATGGGGTAGGGCGGGATGTGACCTCCTCATTCCTGCAAATGCTACGGTAGAATCTCAATCAAACCACGACTTACAGGTAAGTCTCGTTTAATTAACAATTCTACCTCGCATTTGCATACAATCGGAGGTCACATGAGACTTTAAAGCTCAAAGCCACAGAAAACTCAGACAACAAAAAGTGGTGAATGAACACAACATAATATGTATTTGTAATAGGCCTCTTACATGATAGTAGTAAGTACTGCAACAACAGCTGATATCAATATAAGGCATTGTTTGAATATGCACTGACTCAAAGAAGGGAGTTATTTGAGATTACAATATATTATTTCTTATCTCCCAGAATTGCTGCAGCATAGTTGTTTGCAGTTAGGACAGGGTGATCATAGAATTTGGCAAAAGTAGAATCAGAACGCCATCCAGCAGTGTTCATTATAACCTGAACAGGAACATTCAATGCTTTAGCTGCTGAAGTAGAGGCACCCCTAGTGCTGTGGGGTTTGAAAACCGTAGTATCAATTCCCGCATCCTTCATGGTTTGTTTTATCCAACGTGATATTGTGTCCCATGAAGCTGGTCCATGACGCTCAGCATGGCAAATAAGCAACTGCTTTGTCTCTTTCCTGAGAGGAGCGGTTCTTTTAACATAAGCTGAAAGTAGCTCCACGATACACAGTCGTTTGTCCAGGGGGGTAACTATGAAAAGTAACGGGTAGTAAATGTCTGTTCTGGCCCCCTTTGGCAGTTGTTTGTTTTAAAACAGAAGAGATGCGAAAGACATACTTTCCAGGAAGGGTACTCATTTCTTCCAAGGACAAGGACTGTAAGAGTCTGAACTCTCTGTGCAGACAATAGGGCCATAAGCATGACCAGTTTCAGGGTAAGCTGTTTCAGTGACATATCATCAATGGCTGGAAATGTCTTAAGGTGGTTAAGCACTATTTGGGGGTCCCAAGTCTCAGAATAGCGTGGAAGGGCTGGCTTTTGATTAAACAGGCCAGTCATAAACCTTGACACCAAGGGGTGGTCACCCACTTTTACACCATCAACTTTAATGAAACTTGACAGTGCACTTCGGGCAGTTGCAACCGCACTATATCCCACACATTTAGATTGCAGAGTAAGGAAATCAAGGACTTGCTGCAGCTTGGGATTGACTTGGCTGATGTTACAATCAGAGCAGTACTTTAACCAGGCTGTAATATATGTGCAGTATTGTTTGTGGGTTCCATCTCGCCATGACGCCACGATGATGTCCTGAGGTTCCCCCGTTATGCCTTGAGCAGCTAAGGATGCCCTGATAAGAGACATCCATGAAGTTGAAGTTTGGGATATAATGGGTGGACTTGTTCTGGTTTATGTGGGAGAATAATGGTTTTGCGGTGCATTTTGATTGATATTGGAGGAGATTTCATCAACTGTAGGTGCTGTGGGTACCACACCTGGGTTGGCCAGTATGGGTACACAAGTATGGCTGTTGTTCTGCTTTCTTGGATAAACTGAAGGACTTTGCCTATGAGGCTGAAAGGAGGAAAACAATAGATAAGTTTATATCTGGACCAATCCAGAGTGAATGCATCAATAGCTGCTGCACCTGGATCTGGTTTCCAGGCTACATATGGAGACACTTTGTGGTTCAGCCTTGATGCAAACATGTCTATTTCAGGATCGCCCCATTTAAGTTTAAGTTCATCAAAAATGGTAGGGTCTAGGGACCATTCTGTATTACTGTTGTGTGATTCTCTGCTAGCTCTATCGGCTTCTGTATTTAATTTCCCTGGTATGTGAGAGATTGATAGTGCCAGCTGCCTCTGCATGCACCAGATGAGAATTTCCCTAGTTATATCATTGCAGTTCCTAGATTTAGAGCCACCCATACTGCGGATGTACAAGACTGCAGTTGTATTGTCACAAAGCACTTTGATGGTACAATTTGTAAGGTGACTGCAGAGTGACTGCAGTCCCAGAAGGATGGCTTTTAACTCTAGGAAATTAATATGAAGTTGGGATTCCTGGAATGACCATCTACCACTTGCAACACTTGAGGTACACTCTATCACTGCCCCCCAGCCCGTAAGTGAGCTGTCGGATGTCAGGGTTAGATGTGGGATTTGTGGTGTGATGGTTTGTGGATATTGGTCAACATTATTTATCCACCAAAGGAGGTCTTGTTTGCACAGGGGTGAGAGTGTTACTTTCCCCTCAAGATCCCAGCCATTTGCTTGCAGTGCATCAGTTTTGATATTCTCTAGAGATCTATAAAATAATGGCCCATAGTACACTCCTGCAAATGAGGATACCATCAAACCCACAACTGAGGCCACCTCTCGGATTTGAGCAGGACCTTGTATCTGCACAAGGCTGTGACACTTAGATCGTACAATATCAGCCTTCTCCGGGATCATGGAGATGGTCATATTCTTAGAATTCAATATGAATCCCAAAAATTTGGCTATCTGAGAGGGTGTCGTGACAGATTTAGTATCATGGATTGTGAAGCCAAGTGCCCTGAGTAGGGCAACCGTGTCAGCAACTACTTGCGATAGCTGCTCTGGTGTTTCTGCCATTAGTAATATGTCGTCTATGTAACCCACTATTAGGTATCCTTTGGATCTCAGTGTTGCATAGACTGGTTTCATAAGCTTGGTGAAGACCCTAGGGGCCGAGGCCAGGCCAATTGGCAACCAAGTAAACTCGTAAAGGGTTCCGTTAAATTCAAACCTTAGGTATTTTCTGTGCTGGAGATTTATCGGTACAGAGTAATAAGCATCCTTGAGGTCTAGAACTGCCATTCAATAGTCCTTTTTAAGTAGTTGGGCAGCTGATTGGAGGGATTCCATTTTAAAATGCTGGTAAGTAACAAACTCATTAAGATTTTTGAGGTTCAGGATGAGTCTATGAGACCCATCTTTCTTTGGTCTTGTAAAGACCGAAGAGATGAATTCTCCATTGCAGTGTGTTGTCTTGCTCAAAACACCTTTATCAAGAAGTTTTTGAACCTCTACTGCAATAATGTGTTCATCACCTTTAGAAAATTTTATATAGGGCACATATGTTTGGTATGGTAACCGTTCAAAATCGATAAGATAGCCCGATACAATCTCAAGGATGCTTGGGTCTGAGGTAATAGACCTCCACTCAGAAACGTGATGAGCTATGTTACCAGCAACAAAATTTTGTACAGCACAACTTACCGTGTTAAGACCATGAGCTGCTGTGATGACCTCTTGTTTGGGTTCATCTTTGGAGACTCCTTGTGACGCTAAGGTCTGAATGTTTGGCCTTTGGAGTTTTTTGGATTCCGTTGAGAAAAAGTGTGTCTGTTTGTATTGCTGCTGCTGTAACCAGAAAGATTCCTCTGAGATCCTCTATGGTTTTGAACCTTTGCACCAATCTTGTTTACATCACCTATGTCCTTCAACTGCTTTTGGAGGTCGTCACCAAAAAGCAGGTCTGTGAACGGTACATGAGGTGTGCAAAGGGCGGCGTAGTCTTTGCCAATGTCAGATTTCATGAGCTGTTTTCGCTGCATGTTTAGTTCATAGTTTACATGCGTTAGTAATGACAGGGCATCAAGCCCAAATTGCTTGATCAGCTGCGTGCCCTCTTTGTCTAACCCATGCTTTTCTGACATGGTCAGGTCTGTCAACCGGGCAACCGGGATTATACCCTTAACGAGGGCTTGCTGCATCTTGTACAGTTGTAAGTCCCTCTTTTGCGTATGCTCACGAAGTTTTCGCCAAATACCCAGGTTGACACGTGTGGGTTTTACAGTTTCACAGTTTTCCGGTCGAGCTTGTCACTCGAGCTTCTCTTTAAGGACTTTGTCTGGCAAACGATTGCGAAACATTTTGCCAAGGAGCTTGGCAAATTGTGGGTTTTGTATGTTTTTCCCGATAGAGTCTTCAGACTCGTACTCTTTCTGTAGTACTGTAAGTGTTTCATCTTCGTCCCCGTTACTGAGATCGTCAACATCGCCGGCAACTTTAGCCATGAGTGTTTGAACATCCTCATTATCCGAGGTATTTTGCTCGCTCGAGGAGCTCGAGCATTCTTTGGCGGGCTTTTTGGCGGGAACGGCATTTTGATGCTCCTGGCTCGGTCATTTGCCATGGCCTTTACCCGTCGTAGAAGGCTTTTCCTCCAATTTATCGAGTCTTTTTGACACATTTAATATTGCCAGGGAAAGACTCTTAAAGTCGGTAGCGGACAGCGAAACGTTCGCGCCGCTTGTGCCAGGCTCGGCCACCATATTTTTATCTTCTCCAGAGTCTTTGAGTAATTCTCCTTCGTCCAGAACTTCATCCGATAGCGGGTCGTCGTTGAGCGCCTCGTGTTCGCCTATCTGCGACATCAGGAACGGTCGGTCAGAATAACGTCAGAAACGCAGTAAAAATCCTTAAAGAACCTCTCTCTATAAGTTACACAACTGACTCGCTCGGACACCAAACTTGCACTGAGCTCGGATATCGCATACTTGCTATCTCACGTGACCTCCGATTGTATGCAAATGCGAGGTAGAATAAACCCTTTCTAACCACATCACACAACTCTGAAGGATGATGAAATACTTTAAGGGGAATCATGAGACTTTTCATTGAAATTAGGTTAACAATTATGACTGCCAGCCATTTAGACAACATAAACAACAGCAAAAAGGTGATACCTCTGCTTAAGTACTCTATTTTCTTATCACTTACCAATTTTTGACAAAGTTAGAACACTATCAGGAGGATTCACGTAAATTTTGCAAAAGTAGAGGAAAATTGGTAATTTTCATACATTGTACCATGCCCGAGGCCACTCTAGTTGTGAAATTAAGTTTCAAAATTAAAGCTGTATATTTTTGTTATTATTAGGGAATCTAACCGAGGTGATTATACATTCTGGAGTGTAAGAGAAGGCTTTTGAACTTGCAGACTACAGGGTATTAATTAAGCTTAGTCTCCAGCCTTAGGTGTCTCAATGCGCCCGCAGTACTCCTTACCCAATGGCTGGGCTTCATGTAGCAAGATTAAAAGTGTGCTGTTTAACAGTAATAGAAGACACAAATAGAAAGGGAGAGTTCAAAAGAATACTCTGTTTCCTTTTTGTGGAAAAAGAAAAGCTTTAAATTTCATTAAGGAAAATAGACTTCAATGACTTTGACCAAGTTTTCTTCACCACAGGGCTCTTGTCCTGTTTTGAAATACAACCAAAGACAGCAAAGTTTGTAAGGAATTTTCAGGTTCACTTTTCACATAATGGCCAAAGAAATGACACTTTCAAAAGGGAATTTGAGTATCGCTATTTATAAAATAATGTTTGATAGTTTTTTTAAATTCATTTTGACTTTGGCTTTAAAGAAAAATTAGAAAATAAGCTCCGATTTGAGACGGATTTAGTGTTAAATTTGCCATGTGCTCTTTTATAAATTTGCATGATCCCATCCACGATCAAGTAAGTGTTCTGCTAACTGGCATGCTTTAAAGAAATTTCCTTACCCCTCAATTTAATTTTTCTCATGAAGCAGTAATTATATTGGGAGCTATATAAAAGCAAACAGTGCAAAAGAAATATAACCCTAAATACTTCATAACTACATGGAGATAAAAGAAGCTTGGGATAGATTCATCACGAATTCATCGTAAATGGGGAATAAGTACACAAAAGTAAAAATTAATACTAGAAATACTTGTATTGCAGATTAACCCCGCGAAGCTCGTGCGGGGGCAGATCGAGGCACATAAAATGTCAGGGATGGAAGGGGGAGAGAATTGGAGTAAAATAATTAGGTATACTTAGGGAGGCGAGTTTCAAAACTGGCTCTAATATTGGAAGGTGGGATGTAGTTAATCTTCTTTTGGTTCCAAGGAGTAAATTACAACCCAGTGCTCTGTCATTAAAAAGGATTTTCTGGGATTTAAACAGGGTTGGTGTTGTTAAGGAAGGGTAGCCAATGTTTAATAGGTCCTGTGTCGACCCCATTTGACCCTCCTACATTTGTAATTATAGTCAAAAAAATGAGTGTGATAGTGAATAACTGCAGGCAAATATGCAGCTAATGTTTAATGTGTAAGAATAAGTTATTATTTGTGAAGTGTGTCATTAGTAGTGAGTGGATGAAATGGCAGAAGATAATACTCCAGTGAAGATAACAAGTAATTAATGCTGGTAATTGGAGAAAAAATATTTATTGTTAAGTAAACTACAGCAAGAGAGTGTTTGCACTTGTTGTAGTACATAATCACACTTGACAACTACATGTAATTAATATAGTTTGTATGATGCAACAGTAAGGTGCAAACATAATCACTTAAATGTAAACTAAACCAGAAATTACATGTAGCAATCTGATATTTTTCCTACTTGACCTCATTTTTTGCCTTTTTCCCCCACTGCGGAGCCTGCTCCCAGGCTATGTCATTATAAGGATGCAGTTGAGGAGAATTATGAAAGTGATCATGACTCATGATTATTGAATATGCAGTACTCTCATTAGCACTGAATTAACCCTGTAAAAAATACCAAATCATATTTGTGTATGTGCATGAGAAACAAATAATGATGCAAGAGCGAATTTGTATGAAGTGTCAACATACAATTATGTTGAAGGTGATCACTTTTTCAATTCTTAGCATGCATGACGTAAAAAGAATTAATTTTCCTGGCATGATAACACGTCACACACTAATATTGTGACGAGATCCGAAATACAGATGTTCTTTTAAAATACACAAATGTAGGATTGAAAATCGGAGACCAGCAATAATAAATTTTTGTTACATGCTTGACTTAAAAGACACAGCTGTGTTTATGTATAAGGCTGCTATATATAGATAATATATTTTACTTAGGATGGTCTTAGGGTCAAGTAAATGTAATGAAAATTGTAAACGAAAATTTTGTTCAGCAAGGATTTTCTTTGCAAATGTAATGCTTCCCTACATGTCACACATTATCGGTGTTCTAAACTGTTCATTGTAAAATAGAGCTTAATGTTACAGCGCGCAGACGCAGAGAAAACACAATATTCTTTGGTGGGCAAAGTTGGGCAGGGAATATACCCGCAAGGCTCGGATAAAACCCACCGACCGGATGATGACCGAATGATGGGCCTCGGTACATGGCGCCATACCGAGGGGGTGCCTCATGCCTGTACTGCAAGGGGGGGCATAGTTCACGCGTGAAAACGCATGGCCGGCATAATGTCCTTGGGCCAAGTTAACCAAGTCCAGCAAATCCTATAGCCCCCCCTCCCTGACGGGGCTTCAGCACAGGGCTGAAGGGGTGCCGCAGGCAGCAATTCCCCACCCTTAATGATTTTATTAAACGTCTCTGAATCTACAGACAAGAGATAGTGCAAATGCAGTGAACAAATGTAGGAAGGTTAAGGAAGGCAAGAAACAAAGAAAAGAGGAGGGTGGGAGGGGAAAAAACTTTGGTGCTGCTCAACTTGCAGCCTTCAAAGAAAGTGGCGATTGAACGGACTGGCGCAGAATAAGACAAAGAGGCAGGCTGCCAAATAAGGAGATCGCGTGTTTGGGATAAACCGCAGTAGCGATGCAGGCTCAATAGTTGTTGCTTGCTAACATTAACCTTTATTTTATGCTAAAATATCAATTAATGTTACAGCGCGCAGACGCAGAGAAAACACAATATTCTTTGGTGGGCAAAGTTGGGCAGGGAATATACCCGCAAGGCTCGGATAAAACCCACCGACCGGATGATGACCGAATGAGGGGCCTCGGTACATGGCGCCATACCGAGGGGGTGCCTCATGCCTGTACTGCAAGGGGGGGGCATAGTTCACGCGTGAAAACGCATGGCCGGCATAATGTCCTTGGGCCAAGTTAACCAAGTCCAGCAAATCCTATAGCCCCCCCTCCCTGACGGGGCTTCAGCACAGGGCTGAAGGGTGCCGCAGGCAGCAATTCCCCGCCCAAAACGCCGAGTAATACGAGAAGTGCCCTGTGTAAAGCCCCAGTCTCTAAGACCCTTTCTCCACCTGGTCGCGAGGGCTGGATACAGCTCTTATCCGCTCCACGGGGGAATGAAATGAACCAGAGACCATCGGTGGAGAAAGGGGATTGAGGAGTGGACAAGCGGGTATGATCACGTTCTAACTTAAGAACCCAACCGAAACTAAACTTGGGTAGCATGACTTAATGAATGTTCTAGTAGGACACAGTGTTCTCAATTGTGTTACAATGAGACATCATAGTGTTCTCAATAAACAATACAAAGAGACACCGTAGTGTTCCCATGTTGTTTGGTTTTTTTTTTTGTTGTTGTTGTTGTTTTTTTTTTTTTTTTTTACGCAACATAAGAATGTTCGTGATAAACAGTATAGAGCAGCATAACAGTGTTCCCAAAGCCAAGGAAGCGTGGACAATAGTCATTGCGATGTGACATCTAATTGTTTTCAAGTCATTAACTGGATAGACAGGAGGCCAAATTGTGAGGGACTTGGAGAATGGTTTCTTTGGGTGTCCTGATGTACGACTGATATGCATCAGATTTCCAACGGCCAAGAACTTTAATGAGCCAGTCTGGAAGACCAGCAGCCCCCGCAGTAGTGGCTGCTCCAATGCGGAAACTGTGTGATGCATAGCAGGTACTATCCAATCCACAAACCTTGAGAAGAGCCCGTAAGTTGTTGGTGAGGGAGGACCGAGTAAGATGTCGTCCATCCGAGAATTGGAAGAGGGGCTGGGTAGCTCCACTGGGATTAGTTTGAAGCAGATAGTCTCTTAACGCGGTGACTGCACATACAGTAGAGTTTGATTTGGCGATAGTGAGCTTGGCTGTCTCACGGAAAGGGTCTGTTTTGGACTTCTTGATGACAACCTCGAAAGACACAGGTTGGACAATGTTGGGGTAAAAGTGGACGTCCGATCTTGTCAGGTGGGATTGAATATTGAACTTGCCGTTGTAAGTGAATTCGCTACTACGTAGAAAGCCAAAGAACGCAAAGGGTAAAAGCAGCCCACAACATTGAAGAATCTGTGTCCA